TCCCAGCAGGGCTGACCCCGGTGCAGAGAGGAGCCCCCCACCCCCCCGCACCCAGGACCTACCGACTCGGCGATGCGCAACACCGCGTGCACCGTGAGGCCGAAGAGCTCCTCACCCTTCAGGTACTCGGGGAAGAGTCGCAGCATGTCGGCTTCCTTCCTCATCATTGCCACCGGCTCAATGATCCGGTTCCAGACAGCTGCCGAGAGAAAGAGGGAGTTGGAGCCGGGGACCTGCCTGCTGGCCGGCATGGACCCCCAGCGTGAGCCACCCCGGGACCTCCCATCACACCATCCTCCCCCTCAGCGGGATGGGGCGGGGAGGAAGGCAGCGGGCCAGCGCCTGCAGCTCCCTTACCCTGCGGCGAGGAGTCGGAGAAGACCAAATCCTCCAGGCCCTGCTCGATGACTTGCACGACGAACTCGGGGCGGCCGTTGTTCTCGCAGATGGTGCAGCGGTAGCAGCAGCGGCGGTTGTTGGTCCGCAGGCTCCAGTAGATGCGCGTGGCCTCGTAGCCCACGGGGTAGAGGGCCGTGACGCTGTGGAAGTCGGCCATCTGGTGTGGCAGGAGCTGCCCGATGGCGTGGAAGACCAGCCCGCCCACGCGGAACATGTGGAGCCGCTCGCCGCGCTGGATGATGCTGGCGATCTGCTTCACCTCGTCCCGTTCGATGTAGACACGTCGGAAGACGGTGAAGCTGCTCAGCTCCTGCTCGCAGGGGCCCTTCAGCTTGTGCAAGGGGCACAGCATGGTCTTGTCCTTGAAGAACATGCACTTGGCGCGGATGGCGCAGGCGAAGTGGTAGACGCTGGGGCAGCGGATGCGGTTGCAGCTGTTGGTGGCGCCGGTTTTCTGGCACAGGGAGCACTGGGAGAGCAGCCCGCGGTGCAGGGCCACCTCCACGTTGATCAGGGCCCCTCCCTGCGTCTCGTAGACCACCGTGGACCACAGGGCGCAGTTCAGGTGGACCCAGAGGTCAAGGTCAAGGTTGAGCAGGCGGGCCGGCCCGTCCGTGGCCCCATCACCCTCCTCGTGGCAGAAGCAGC